TGGTGGCGAAATCTCTCGCACCTCCCCGGAAACGTGTCCGCGTTGCTTCCGCCTGTATGACTGTATGCAAATACTCTCGACATACCGAACTCAATACCACGACTAGAATATTGAAAGACTTTACTCCCGAAAAACTCTCCAAAGCCCAAAAAACTCTATCCCTGAAACCGCATCTAAACCTGAACCCCTAAAAACTTACTTAAGCCCTCAACCCTGTAAGCTAAAGAAGTGGCCTGGACATGTCACCGATGTCAACATGCGTCGGGTCCTCTGGTGACCCTAGCTTTATTGCTTTTGTTCTTCTTGGTTGTTGGATGTTGCTATTGTTGTTGTTCCTGGATTTGGTTTAGGGTTCTTGTTTAGTCGCTCACTCTCGCACAAGGCAGGCAAGGTCCATGGGTCCGTTCGTCAAACTATGCTACTCTGCGACATGGTTCTTGTTTAGGTCTTATTTACGGTGTCAACGCTAAGGGCGTAGGGCTTGTGGCTTAGGGTCTAGGCTTTTGGGTTGAAGGGTTTAGGGATGTCTGAACAATAGAGTTTAAAGGGACTGTAAAACTGAGGATCGAAAAGCTCTAAGGGCTTCCTCTGCTCTTGGGGCTTTTGGTGGCAGTCTGCAAGCGCAGTATAGTCCGTTCCGAGAAACAACAACGAGACTCGACTAGGGACCACATGACCAAAGACCTGAAGCCGAAAACGCCCAAAGTTCGGTCCGTGCGATCGGCACACACGCGCCGAGCACCCGAGCTGGAGCCACCTGCAATGCTTGTCTGCGCAAGTTGTTCTTCCTTTGGGATTCAAGGTCTGGGTGTGGGGGAGTACTAGTAAGGATTAGGGTTTTAGTAGGTGTAGCTACAGGCCCGGGGATGCTCGCGGTGTGCAGTGTGGAGGATTCGAGGTTTGGGCTTCACGGACCACGATGCCTCTTCCTCACGGGCATGAACGTTCGGATCAAGCGTCGGATGGGGCGTTGGAGGTCCTAAATTCTCTTTGCATCATCCTAAGTCACTAGGCCCTCTACTGACCTTGAACCTGAACCTTCTCCCTATCCCTGAACTCTCTACCCGAAACATTGGCTCTCTAGCCTCTAACTTTATCACCCCAAGGCCTTATAGACCCCCCAAACGCAAAACACAAATCCCGACCCTACAAACTCAACATCCTCGGCAAGGGGACCTCCCTCGACAATGAAGCTGTAGCGCGCCTGCGTCATGGAGGCTGACTGCCGTTTCCGGTTGGGAGGTCCGCGTTTAGGGTCTAAAAATCTCAGAAATGCTTCGAGTTTCGGGGTGGGGAGATTTAGGGCACTGTCGTCCGCCTATTGAAAGTCCTTTTTGAAAGTCATTGTTTAACGTGGACTGGTTGGATGCCAGCCCATTGACAGTCCTGGATCCTTTTGCATCAGGATTTCTGAAGCTGAGACTACGAGCGTACCCCAGCGGACTTGAAGAAGGCAAATTAGCACCTGCGCCCTCTTAGAACCACTCGAACTTAAACCCTATGAGCCTTATATGCCTCATTTGTGCATGTTGTGGAGTTGGGCGCCACCACGTCTTTGTGCTACTGTCAATGCTTCCGCTAGCGGCACCAAGGCCACCACCCTTCACGGGCAACCGTACTTGCACAACGCAGAGCCCTCGGACATGCTCATGGGGAATGAGCGGAACTACAATCGCTACGTTTGACCAAGCTGAAAACCTGCACCCGAAGAAATCCGAAGAATTCATCCCCGTGGACCTGACAGCAATCCTAAACCTTGAGCCTGGACTTAAACCCCGGACCCTGCATCGCCCAGAACTGCGTCTGCCTGCATGTCTGCAGTGGACGACCAGGCGCTGACAACCTTGACTCCGTGGTGTGCGCTACGTAGAAATCACAGGACTCGGATTAGTTTAGGGCTCAGGATTCCGTGTGCCAGGGTTCATGCCCCTTATGCCCCTTCCTATCCCACCCACAGAGCGACTTTGGCACTTTGGCCGATATCCCCTCCAGTCGGAAGCACTTGCCAGGTCCCCAAGAAGAGGTTTCAAAAAGGTCTCCTGAACCCGAGGTTGTGCGAGCCATTTCATGTGTTTCCATTTAAGTACGGTCAGGAATGCTCCAGCATCCTCATCATGAACAAGAACCTCTTCGCTCTGCAGCAAGGATGCACTGATGTGCCTTAGAACAATCACTCGAGTCACAGCCACAACACCTTGAGAAGGCCGGTTCAAGCTTAAAGCTGCTACGTTGCTGAACCGCAACCAGATGTACAATTGTTTCGGCCAACATCTACAGAGCCTAAAGCCCAAAGAGCTCCTCCAACTACACCTCCCTGCCCAGCTGCAGGATAGACTGTGGAAGATCCTGCGATGCGTAGCGTATCCTGCGCCCCGATGATGGGAACAGCAGCCGCCTCTCATTCGGTGTCAGTGATTCTCGGGGGGGGGCATTTGGTGTTTAGGTTTTCAGGTTCTGGGGCGTCTTCAGATCTAGGTCCCAAGCCCGACACGCCGACATTTGGAAACCAAGGCCAGTTCAAACCATCCTGGCACTAGAAATTCGGGCTCCAGAGTGGAACGCAGCTTGTTTGCGGAAAGACTGCCTGGGTAACAGCAGGGAGGACATGCGGCAGTGGTCTGAAAGTGAAGTCTATACCCGTTAATAGTTGCGCTACAAACCTTCGAACCTGAAGCCCAAGAAGGGTCGCAAATCACCCTAATACGAAACCGAACATGTCAAAGTGTTCGAAGTTCGCCTTGATACCATTAAGCCGTTCACCCTCGACCATGAATGCTTCACCCTGAACCCCCAGAAAACCCAAAAGGTTGGCAATCCCAAGCCCCAAGACCTGTAAGCCCTTAAAATCCCTGAATCCTCCATCAGGATGCAGGCCAACCTACCACCCTTCAAAGGGAGCCCCGCTCGTTGGCCAGGGCACAAAGAAGAGCACTAGTGCAGGTCCCATGCTCGACGAAAGGGCCTCAGGTTCTCCTAGGCTTTCGGGTTTCGGGGCTGACGGTGTCTGTTGAGTCTATTGCTCAAAGGCTATTGGGCCTGGGCGCTCAAAGGCCGTTAATGGGTTGAGGGTTCAGGGAAAGCGTCCTTTCCTTAGGGTTAGGGGTTAAGGTCCTTCATGTGAAGCAAGTCTGACTGTATAGTTCACATCGGAGGCGTTTGTCTTGCCAAGGTCTGGCGCTCTCTCTCTCTCTCTCTCTTTTGCTTGTTTTCTGCTTTGATTCTCTCTTCTCTTGCTTGTTTTCTCCTTTGACTCTCCCTCTCCCACTCTCTCCCTCGCCCCACAAGAAATAGCTGGACTCCAACTTGCGTGGGGCCATTCATGGCCAATCAAATTCAAAAGACATCCAAAACCGCCGAATGCAATGACTCACTTACACAAATATAGAGCTTGCCCAATCTTTGTGGCTCCAGTGCCAGCGGTGCCTTGGTGATAACTAGATGTCATCCTTGGGCTCAGTAGGGTCAGTGACATTTGACACCAAAGGGGCCAGCGACGGACCACAACCCGAGACCTCCAGCCCACATAGAAGCAAGAACAAAAACCTTCTCACGACAATACCCCGACGCTTAAAAGGGCCAAATGGGCCTGCTCCGACATCCGAAAGCCGCAAGCTCAAACGCTTATGAAATGTGAAGAAGAGCCACCTCGCATCCCAAGCCCCAGCACCAAAAAAAAACGAATGTTGGTCAGGGCTCAGCTCGGCCTGAGGCCCCGAATCAAGCGCCTGCAAAATCGTTCCGGGTTGCTACCCTGGAAAAACTGAGCAACAAAAATGGCTGCAAGACGGGGGCTGGCGGTCTTTGGGTGGCCACACCAGCTGTGTCCCCAGCTCATCCTCGCAAGCCGAAAACTTTGGAGAAAACAAGCAGTTTGGATTGTGGGCAGCATGGCGAGTGGCCGAGGCCAGGTTGTCGTCCAGGGATGTCTGCAGTCGACCATCGGGATGGGTTCAGACGGCTCCTCTTCTTGTCTTCGCCATCTCAGGCTTTGTGCACAAATGTTACACACTCCGGCTGCAAGGTTCTTGGAACATGACGAGCTTTGGTGTCGACACACGCAAGATGTTGCAACAACGTCCTTGGCCTTTGGTTCAAGCTGATCTCGTATTTGCCGTGTGGTGTGGCGGATTCCCTCTTTCAATATTCTATGATTATTTATGAGGTGTCGGCTTTTTCAAGTGAGAACAGAGAAGTTCACGCACAGGGAATTGGCAAGTTGGATCCGGAATCAGCGCGATGTCCGCTACATGGCCGCGCATGCCAACTTGCCTGCCAGCATCGAATATATGCCATTCACGATCTATCCAGCAAGATGGGCTGGGCAGCTCAGCCTGCCCAGGCACAAAATTCCAAAATTATCCAGCCACTTTCAGCCCAGTGGGAAAAATCCAAGACAGCCACGGCCTCAGGCGCGTCTCTAAGCCTGCACTTGGCCCAGATGGCCAATCCAGCCAGGCCTCCATCACCCGCAAGGTGCGCTGCCCGCCCCGCGCTGGATGCTGCTAGGACGATCCCCCAGACAATGTGCAGTTGAACATAGTTGAACCATTGCAAGCTCATGCAGAATGGATGGTGGCACGACGGACTTTGACAACAAACTGGAACCATATACATATGACTAACTCGCTCCTTGTTTGTTTCGCCTGCCGAATCTTCCGAACGGTGGGCCACCCCACAGAGCCGTGGCGTAGCAGCGCATAGGCTGAAACGGACTGAGGCCTTCGCTCGAGTTCCGGCTTTCTAGGATTGCGTAGAGGCGTGGAGTCCACGGGCCGCGGGACTTTGTGTCTGTTGCTCCGCGACGGGGCTAGTTCCAGCGCGACTGCGCACGAAAATGATAATTACATGGAGGCGAGGCCGTGGCAATTCTCATGCACACTCCCCCAAAATTCCACAATGAGAAGATTTGAGGAGCCTCTTGGCCACAGGTATTGTACCCGTGGCCAAGAGGCTGCGTATTCATGCACGAAACTGTACAGTCAAAACTCTTAGGGCCCATCTCAAGAGCACCTGCCGAAGGAGCCCTGGCATCCTCCTCCACAGTGGCCACTCGATTGCCCACACCAGCCGTACTGGCTGCAGCAGTAGCCGTCTGCACACCTCGTGCGAGGCCCGTCACCACACTGGCCATTTGTGCTCACAGGATAGGCAGGGACTGTCGTCGACGAAGCGCACCTCCCGAAGGATTCCTGGCAGCCTCCTCCACAGTGAGCGTCTGAGTTGCCACACCACCCCGAAGAGCTACAGCACTCGTAGCCACTGACCCAGCATCTTGTCCCGAAAACCGTGCCGGTTGGACGACCGCACCTGCCGTTGGTGCTGTTCGGTGCTGTGACAGTGACCACGGGAGGAGCGTTGCATGTGCCATAGGCACTCTGACAGCCCGCGGACTGATCGCAGTGGCCGTCGGAGCCGCCGCAATAGCCATAGCGGCTGCAACACTGGTACCCACTCTGCCAGCATCTCCGGGCAAAGTTGACTCCACACCTGCCATTCTCACTGTTCTGAAGATTTGGGATGGGAGGTTGCGGAAAAGGGACTTGTCCGGGTCCTCTGGACATAGCCCAGAACAAGGAGTCCATCAGGTCCTGGTTGTAATAGTTCAGGTAGTCCACCATCACCGTGGCGACGCCCATCCCTCGCTCTTGGCACCTCCGCAAAATGTCCCTCAAGTCCAACGACAGCCGAGCGTTCACGATGTACGCGTTGTCGTCGTTGCAGTAACCGGCGAACTGCGGGCCGAGTCTCATGTCGAACTTGGTGATTCGAATACCACTGGGGCAGCTGTCGCTGCCGACAGGGCCTGTCACCGGAGCCACGGACAGAACACAGACATCCACGCACACACTCACACGCATGGATAAACACAAGTCAGCGCATGAAATAAAAGGATTTTTTTCTTTGGGGGGGGGGGGGGGGGGGTGCCCTCATGTGAGAAGCTGTGGTGCACTTCGGCCGGTTTTTTCTCTTTTTTGCTTGCGCGCGTATGCGAGCTCAGCGCGATGGTGCGTGATGCTGCGGCGTGGCTTGATGTTGGGGTGTGGGTGTGCGTGCGTGCGTGCGTGCGTGCGTGCGTGCGTGCGTGCGTGCGTGCGTGCGTGCGTGCGTGCGTGCGTGCGTGCGTGCGTGCGTGCGTGCGTGAGTGCGTGCGTGCGTGCGTGCGTGCGTGCGTGCGTGCGTGCGTGCGTGCGTGCGTGCGTGCGTGCGTGCGTGCGTGCGTGCGTGCGTGCGTGTGTGTGTGTGTGTGTGTGTGTGTGTGTGTGTGTTGATGGGTCAGTTGATCTGTGTGTGTGTGTATGTGTTGATATGATGTGCGTGTGGGGTGATGTGTGCTTGTGTGTGGCGATGTATGTGTTAATGTGTGAATGTGTGTCTGTGTCTCTGTGTGTCTGCGTGTCTGCGTGTTGTGTGTCTGTCTGTCTGCGTGTCTGCGTGTCGGCGTGTCTGCGTGCGTGCGTGGGCGTGCGTGTGCCGCGTTGCCCGTTGCGCATTGCACGTGCGGCGTTGCGTGTGCCGCGTTGCGCGTTGCGAGTTGCGAGTTGCGCGTTGCGTGCGCGCGTGCCCGCGCGCGTGCGTTTGTCCGTGCGTGGGCGGGCGTGGGCGTGGGCGTGGGCGTGGGCGTGGGCGTGGGCGTGGGCGTGGGCGTGGGCGTGGGCGTGGGCGTGGGCGTGGGCGTGGGCGTGGGCGTGGGCGTGGGCGTGGGCGTGGGCGTGGGCGTGCGTGTGGGCGTGCCAGCGCGGGTGCGCGTGCGCGTGCGCGTGCGTGCGTGGTGCGCGGTGCGTGCGCGCCGTGCGCGCGTGCGGGCGCGCGCGTGCGCGCGCGTGCGTGCGTGCACGCGCGTGCGCGCGTGCGCGCGTGCGCGCGTGCGGGCGTGCTGCGGGCGGGGGGGGGCGGGGGGCGGGCGGGCGTGCGTGCGCGTGCGTGCGCGGGGTGCGTGGTGGTGTGTGTGTGGGTGTGTGTGGGTGGTGTGGGTGGGTGTGGTGTGTGTGTGTGGGTGTGTGTGGGTGTGTGTGTGTGGTGTTGTTGTGTGTGTGTGTGTGTGGTGTGGTGTGGGTGTGGGTGTGGGTGTGGGTGTGGGTGTGGGTGTGGGTGTGGGGTGTGGGTGTGGGTGGTGTGCGTGCGTGTGCGTGTGCGTGTGCGTGTGCGTGTGCGTGTGCGTGTGCGTGTGCGTGTGCGTGTGCGTGTGTGTGTGTGTGTGTGTGTGTGTGTGTGGAAGCCCTGGTCCGTGGATGTCGATCAGTTTTGCTTTCGTACTACCAGATTTATCCTCGATTTGCAGGGGGCCAGGAACCAATATCATCTGTCCTGGCCAACGAAGACCAGGTGATTTTGGGGTGAAAACGTACCTGCAGATTTACAGAGTTGCACCTGGATCCAATTCGGGTAGCTGGTGGACTCACAAGAAAGTCGGGCACTTTTCTTGTCCTTGGAAATGAGGCTTCATGCTGGTAATCTTTCTCGTGCATAGGTGAGCGTTTCGCATTCCTCGCAGGTTCATAT